AGCACACACACATTTTTTTTGCAGCAGGAAGAGGTCTAGATTTTGTCCCATGAAACCATAGCTGCAAATTTTTGTTGTCTTCCTTCTGAAGAACAGCTTCGGGGTGTTGTTCTCTCTGATCCAGGCCAAGTGCCAGCTCCTTGTAATGGGGAACCTGGCTTCTCCACCCAAGCCCCTCCATCAGGAAATGAATGCTCTCTTCTTTTGAACACCATCGGAGATGGATGAGCTCAGGCCAGGAATGAATGAGGTGGGTGGTGTGTGGAGTTTCCCAGGAAGGGAAGCAGGGTCCAGCTGGAGCCTTCAGGATGCACTTTGCAATTTTGTCTTTGTGAATGTGTGTGTGTGTGTGTGTATACACGTCTGGGTCGGGATGGCAAAAGCAGCTGCCATCCTAAGAACAATGTCTTAGGTAGGTTCCCAAGCCCCATACACAGGGTAACATACCAGATGATACTTGCACATGTGGTGAGGTACATTACAGCAGAGAACCCCCGAAATTAGGAAACTAATCTTATCATATGGCTGCTGGTAACTTGCCTATCCTGCCTTCCAGAGAAAGAGAACCTTACCTTCATTCTATAATGTAAGTGAAAGGTTAAGGTCGGTGTGCACAGGCAGACTAAATAGTCATCTCAGATGGGGATATCCATAGGGAAGGGCTACGCAGCACTGAGTCAAAGGGTATGGGGTCCATGATGGCAGCAAAATATACTTGGGACAGTGAAACAAGGAAGGGCATAGAAGAAGCAACAGGAGAGCCTAGGCTGGGCTGCTCTGGCTCGCTAAGAAGTCAGAGAGAGAAGGAGGCCTCAGAGACAGGTTCAGGGACCTTGGACACAGGTTCAAGGGGTAAGCCTGGGATGAGTTGCCGCTGCCCATTGCTTCCCTGCTTGCAAATCTTGTGGGGTCCCCTCATAAGGATGGAGATGGCACTGGTGTGCTCCCCTAGTGGGGAGCATGCGCTGGGCCCTTTGTTCTGAGTGTATTTATCTCTCTTGCAGGTGGAAATCTTAGAGGAGGGCTTCCTGCCCTGCTCAGTCTCCGAACAGGGTTTCTGTACCTGGCCCATGTAACAGTAAGCAAGTCCTCTCCAGGAAGGGAAGGAGAGGTCTTTACCTTGATTATTCTGGACAGCTCCAGGGAGGGAAATATGTCTAAGCTTTACTACCCTGGATTGGCTCTGTAGGGGAGGAAAATACCTTTTCCTCTATCCTCTTAGGTACGGTAGCTGGGGCCCTGCAAATTGAAATGACAAAACACAGGTTAATAGGAGAGTAAGTTTTAGTTCACATTCTGAGGGGACAAGGGGGTCACAGAAATGAAGTGAAAGTTCCAAAGAGGTGGTCACACTGGGAGGCTTATATATCATTTTAACAAAAAGTAATAAATTTGTCGAGAAATGACGAGACAAAGGAATGAGGGTTTAGGTTTTTATGGGTAGTAAATTGTGGGAAGGTAAATACATGGAGAAACGCTACTAGATATAAGGGTTATTTTTAGTAAAGTCTGTGATATCTGGATGATCTCTCTGGGCTGGGAAGTTTAGAGTCATGTCTGGTGATTACAAGTTGTTCTGTTCTTCCTGGTATGAGAGAGAGGTGGGGAACACATTCACAAAGGGAAATTTATGTCCTGCTTTAGGCAAACAGGGGGAGGAGAGAGAGCTTTTTCTGCATCTTCTATTTCTCAATTGCCTTCAGCTTAAAATAGTCCTTATGCCAAAGTGGCGTATTTTGGGGTAGCACATTCCGATCCCCTCCAGCTCCTTACACAAACATTCTTAATTTGGTTTTAAATGCTTTTGATCAGAGACCTGAACTGTGTGGAAAGTGAGATGACCAGAGTCAATCATCCCCCAACAGTAATTCTACATGAAGGGTGTAAGGCTCTTCATTGAACTGTTCTATCAAGCTTTCTCTAAGTTTGAAAAAAATTTTAAATAAAAAATTAGGGAAACAATAATCCAGAGATATATCAGACGTGGAAATTGTTTAGAATATATTAAGTAGAAAAGTGGATTATACATGGTGTGTAAGTAAGGCCTTATTTTTTATAACAGGTATAGGTATGTACATCTACAGAGAAAAGGAAATCTGGAAGGGGTATACCATTATATTATTAGTGTTTATCTTTGGTTGAATAAGAGCATCAGGTGTTTTTTTTTAATGTTCTTTTTGCCTATATGTATTTTGCTTTTTCTCCTGTGAGTGATTTTGTGAGTAAAATTCTTTCTTTATCAGAAAAATAGAATCCCTTTTTGTCTTTCTAGTGGGAGTAGATATCAGTGACGCCCCCCACCCCCAA